AAAAAAATCTTAGAATACGAAAACATTGGTGAATGCCACAAATTCTCCTAAATCACTCGTACGTACAATTTAATAACAAATCTGTGCGTACGAACGGTTCTTGCATGAGGCCCATTGTGAGGAAAGTTTGAAGGGCTTCATGCAGCTACTGCCCAAAATTCAACCATTTTTGTTCTTTAAAGTGCTTGTGGTATCAAATTTCTGTGATAACTGAATATGCATTATTGGAAAGATAACATTACTAACGTGAAAATTATACAAAAATAACAACAATGTAAACGAATAATACAGAAAGAAAGAAAAGGAATGAAGATGTTTTTTTTTTCTTTAAACAAAGATCAAGGAGTTCCCATTAATCACAACTTCCTGTTTCACTTTGGTTTCACCAAATGGATATATATACGTATATACTGTATATTAAGATGTTTTTCCCCCAGTTTTTGTATTTGTAAGAAATGCATGTCAAAGGAAGTTTCAACCTCAACAATAATTTGGCCTCTTTCAAAAAAACTCTGAGCTGATAAATTGTCTATGTTTCGAAGCATAACCTGTATAAAATGTGTAAATCTAGCTGCCAGTGGTTCAGTAGAGGCCCATAATTAACCACACACCTGTTCTGTCACTCCCTGAAGGCACMCTTAAGACAAGTAGACAGAAACACAGAGTAGAGAGTAAGCCTCAAACAAAAATTGTGCAAAAATTGTAAAATATATTGAATAAATTCATAAAATTTAAAAAGCAGATAATTCTGATCGTCACACGTGTCTAGTTTATATGTCTACAATGTTTTATGTAGGAGAAGTTAAAAAAAACAATAAAAATGACTGAGCTCTGATACAATGGAAGTCTATGAGAGTTTGGATGTTCACTCTGTGTTCGGAGAGGATTTGAGAGAAATCCCTAAGTCCTGTAGAAGTGACAAACCCAGAGAGTGAAAWGAGACAAAAAATGATTTATTTTGATCAATAAATTCTACAAAAAATAAATAGACTGTGGTTATAAGAAGAGTCTTTCTGTTTGGGCACCTCAAATGGGTGACATTCAGCAAGATTTTAAAGAACAAAACAAAACAAAACAAA